TGCTCTTACAGCGTGGTTCCACCTCCACTATATCTGGGAGAAGTCAGGCAACTGCTTCCGCGGAGGTAACATAGGTAGCACACAAGTTATACTGTATGTTAAGTGCCATCTAGCAGCATGGCGTAGTACTGCAGAATAAAGCTGCTACGTATTCCCAAGCTTAAGCTGGCTGGGGAATAACGCCAAGTGGTACATGAGATGTAATGTTTTTCAAGTGCCCTCTAGCAACAAAGCGTATTACTACACGACTTTGGTTCATTGCATGAAACGTCACAAATTTCTTCCGCATGTAGGTTTGGAAATCAATTAGTACCATCAACATCAACCAACATCAAGTAAGTAAAATTTAAATCTTTATTGTAACAGTGGTGTCACTTTAGTAGATGGCAACAAGCCATTTTGTGGTCAAACATTTTAAATATAAGGTCACTGCAAAAGTATTAGCTACTTAGATGTGCAATCAATCTCCAAGCAGATCCTACGGTGGCAAGACAGTATCCATTTAGTCTCTACCAGACTAACTACGCTGGCTATATATAGGAGAATAATTGCTAGGGGACTTTTGCCGCCTTGTAGGTTTGACTGGCCGCGCAGTTACGGAGAGAAAGAAACAACCTTCCCGCGGCCGGACTCACTTGGCCAATTTTACTCTCTTTTTGCCACCGTAGGATCTGTTTAGAGATTACCCTGTACCCAGTAGGCTATTGGACCGGTCAACTCCTCTCGACACTTTACGACCGACACCGATCTATAGCTGGGTCATGTTTGTCCAGTGCTAGTTAGTGGGAGTGTGTCTGTGTGGGGGAGGGGCAGAGTTTATGTTGTCGCACGTGGCAGGTCAGGCTCAGACAGACCGGCGGTGGACGGTCGGCAGAGATATGGGGAAATCGAAGCACTAAATCTGTAATAGGATCAGTCTGCAACCGCGCACGGACACTGTTCATCGTTTTGAAAATTTTATTGCAACGTTTTTCTTGCATTTATTGCACATGGCAGTACCTTGTATATTTACTGAATCAGTTACGTTTCCATGTCTCATAAAAGGTATTTTTGTGTGAGTGAATGGTGAAGAGTGACAGGAATCAAGACGTCACAAAGCCATATTTGACATTTGTCCTTTGTTGTCCTCTTGAATTCGTCTTCAAAGTATCATTATTGTAAAAACAATGAGATCTTTATTCTTCTAAGCGCTATCGCATATGAGGCTGGTGTTTTTTTTTACTCGGAAGGGTGGCTACACCAGTCTGGGGCAGTATACCATAGTTCTCCCTAAATTCCTCCCCAGATCTCGGTGATTACGGCAGATTTACCTTGGCGGAGAACCTGTAACACAAGCTGACGTGTCTGCTGAATAGATCTCCTTCACATCATCGGGCAGCCAGGGTTGACGTGTGGGGGTCTCGCCCCGCAGTTGTCACACGTGTGACAGGGGTCAGGTTTACACACGGGTCTCACTCACGGACGTGTGTAAATAACGCCGTTCGAGCATCAACTGTACTTGTGGGATAGCCTGTATCAGACTTCGAGAGGCGGCTGGATAGAGTAGTAGTAGTAGTAGTAGTAAGCCTTTATTTAAACTCGAAAGCTTGTTCGGTTGCAAATGACCGCTTTTCAACAAGGTCGAGGGTGAGGACGGGGTCACGGATTACAAATCAAACCAAAATATAATACAAAATCAAAACAAAGTGCAAATCAAAATATAATACAAAAATAAATAATAAATCATCAGTCCGTTATCAGTCCAAGTTCCTTATCATACTTCTAAATGTTCCCAATGACTGGGCTGCTCGTACATGTGGTGGCAAGGAGTTCCACACAGTCGCCCCCGAGTACCTCAGTGACTGCCTGTACACTTCCAGTTGGGGCCTCGGTATGATGAGGAGTAGAGAGATAACATGCCGAGGTGCGGCAAACTGTACTTTCTAGGGGACCAACTCCCTTGGCATGTTATCTCTCTATTTGACAAATTTCTACTCTTTCCAGCCCCCCCC